AGGAAAAAGATAAAATACTCTTTGTTTTTCCATTGTAGTGCATTTGCAACACTCGAAGAAGAAGCGTGTACAGAGCTTGTGCCATACTTAGGTTTCATTCTTGAAACATTGGTGTTTGCCTTCAATAAATACCAGGTACATCCATGTACACGTCCAAACTGAGACCATTTCAATCTCATTTCTCTAATACATGTAGTACTTGTAATTCCCCTGCAGCACAAGAATTTACTTATCCTGTATGATGCCATTGGTACCTTGGCTGATTCAGTTGGTCACCATCTGAACAAGCCAGAGTACATCACAATGCTAATGCCACCACTTATTCAAAAATGGAATGAACTCAAGGACGAAGACAAGGATTTGTTTCCTTTGCTGGAATGCCTGTCCTCTGTTGCCACGGCATTGAGATCTGGCTTCCTTCCTTATGCAAGACCTGTTTTTCAGAGATGCGTATCACTGGTGGAAAAGACACTTGCGCAGAGCTTGGTAAGCCAACAGATCTGAAATTCTGAAACTATATTGATCATATGAAAAACGAGCAGAAGACTGGGAATGAACACCTTAAATAGTCCATGTTTTGAAAAACCTGTTTTCAGCATAAGAAAAAGTATATCTAAACTAGTAAATTGGAGGAGTTTTAGTTTCTAATGTTGAATATCAGCGGAGTTACGAGCATTTGAATTTTGCTAAAAATGTGAAAACGAGGCTGGTAAGGCCTCAATTCTGATTTTCAATCAAACCTTTGCAATTTCAAACAACTGTAATTTTCATTCCTTAAATATTAGAGCATTGAAACTTTCAGATATTGTTCATTGTGATATGTTATTTGAACGGGTAGTAATGATATATTAAATATCTTATAAACTAAGGTAGATAGCTGCGCCCTTTTTCATATGGTCTATATATGACAGGATGTTGTATCTTGAATTAGAGTTATTTTTTGCTCATAATAATTGTCATTCAAGTTATATGATATAGAAGATATTACATGGGTGCTGGAGATACGGATTTTATCTTCAAATGTTGAAGAGATTTTCAACACGAGAAGGTAAAATTCGTATCTCTGTGCGTTCATGTAATATTCTTTTTATCATAGAATAACATATGAAAGCAAATTATGTTGACTGTATGTTTTTTTCTTACTTCCACTATATAGAGAAACCTTGGATGTATTATTTTCACTAGTGAAAATATCAATTTTACGAAATGGAGACTTTTAGGTATTTCATAGATAATTATATGATAAAGCTATATTTTGTTTTTTTTTAGGCATC